AAGAGGGGAAGGAAGGAAGATATGAACAAAGAAGAGAAGAAGGAAGTTAGAAAAGAAGGAAGGAAGAGGGAAGGAAGAGAAGGAAGGAAGGAGAGAAGGAGAAAACAGGAGAAAATTGGAAGGAAGGATGAGGAGGAGGAGGAGGAAGAAATGTAGAAGATGCAGGAAGGAAAGAAGAGATGAAGGAAGGAAGAGGAGAAGGAAGGAGAGAAGATGTAGAAGAAGAAATAGTCGGGGACTAGCCACTGAGAGGGCCATGGGAAGCAGGAGAGCTGCCCCTGAGTGATGGGTCCACTCACTGGTTCATCTGCCCCTTCAGGACCAGGTTGGGCCCCGTCCCGGTCAAGGTGGCCGTCCCGCCAATGCTGGCTGCGTAGCAGATGCAGAGGGTCATCCCTTTGTTGGTGCGCTTCTTGGCCGCCTGCCTCTCGGGGTCCGAGGGCCCCTCTGGGAGGAAGCCGTTTCCTGCAGAAAAAGGAAGTCCGTGTTTGTGGGGGTCGGGGTGAGGGGAAACATTGCTTGTCCTCGGGTGACCTCCTGGACCCATATCCTGCTGGTACGAGGCAGCCATGTTATTGTTTTCCTTTGCGCTTGTTTTCTCGTGCCCATTTCGGGAAGGAATCCAGGAAACACATCTAATCAAGTGTGGAATAAACCAAAGTCTGCACAGGCTGTTTAAGATAAGACATATCTCGAGATAACGGAGGTGTGGGTTAAAGGTGCCCACGGACTGTAACGAGTAGGGATCGAGGCTTACCTTGCCCCGCCACAGAAGAGAAACCCGTGGCGGACTTCTCGTCCATCTCCAGCCCGACGACAGCAAGGGCTGCGTTGATGTGTCCCTCCTGCCTCTCCGGCTTGGCCTCGGCCCCGTTCATCTGGTCCAGGACAGCTTGGACGATGGGGACCATCATGGCGGTGGTGGCGGTGTTGCTGATCCACATGGAGAGGAAAGCCGTGACGCCCATGAAGCCCAGCATCAGCCTGCGGAGAGAGGCGGGGAGGTTGGGGATGAGAACCCGCACATGGGTCGCTTGCAAAGCCCAACGACCAAGCCTGGACTTACAAGGCAGGCTTCACCCCCACGATCAGCAGCACCCTCAATGCAATCCGCTTGTGCAGGTTCCAGTGCTCCACAGCTACCGCTACTATCAGTCCCCCGACAAAGAGCATGTTGGTGTCCTTCAGGTACTGCATGCACACCTGCAAAAGGCATGAGCCGCGAGGAGAGACTGGTCTTCAATACACTATTGCAAGATTACGATATGCCAACTATTGTGAGATTACAATACGCACACTTCCCTCACTAGCAAAGCCTCCCTACCTCCAGTGCCAGAGGTTAAATTATATTTTTTGGGTTTCATCCCTGGACTGCACAAGTCTCCAGTCCTCAATGAGTAAGGTAAAGGTTTTCTAATCATGTTCATCCCTGGGGGTTAGTGCCCACCTCCATTTCTAAGTCAAAGAGCCACCATTGTTCGTAGACACCTCTAAGGTCATTTGGCTACTGGCATGACTGCATGGAGTACTATTACCTTCCCGCTGGAGCGGTACCTATTGATTACTCACATTTGCATGTTTTCGAACTGCTAGGTTGGCAGGAGCTGGGGCTAACAGCAGGAACTGCTAGGTTGGCAGGAGCTGGGGCTAACAGCAGGAACTCATACAGCTCCCCAGATTTGAACCTGTGACCTTTCGGTCAACAAGTTCAGCAGCTCAGTGGTTTAACTCACAACAACACAATTATCATCATCATACATTATTATTATTATTATTATTATTATTTTATAATATAATATTGGTAAAAGGTTAAGGTTTTCCCCTGACATCAAGTCCAGTCGTGTCCGACTCTGGGGGTTGGTGCTCATCTCCATTTCTAAGCCAAAGAGCCAGTGTTGTTCGTAAACACCTCCAAGGTCATGTGGCCGGCATGACTGCATGGAGTACCATTACCTTCCCACCGGAGCGGTACTTATTGATCTACTCACATTTGCATGTTTTCGAACTGCTAGGTTGGCAGAAGCTGGGGCTATCAGGGGGAGCTCGCCTCAGTTTCAAACCAGCGACCTTTCGTTTGACAAGTTCAGCAGCTCAGCAGTTCAACCCACTGCGCCACCTCAACGAGTAGCTAGACTTAGATATACGGTTAGAGTGAGGGATTCTTTCCCCTACATGCTTTCTTTCCCCTACATTCTTTCCCCTGCTTGCTTCTCTCAGAAGGGGCTTTGTCGTTACTCTTCTTGCTTCCCACTATATCTTCCCCATTTGAAGGTATAGCAATGGAATCTCTGTGAAGGATGAAGTAAGTTACTCCTTAAAGGTCTTTTTATTGCCCTGGTTTGGGCATTTGGTGATTCTCCATTGCCCTCTCTCTGCCTTTGTCTTCCTTCCACTGAGGGCGCATTTTGCCTTTCTCCAGGCAAAATGTAGCTGCATGGATATTTTTGATATTTTGTCCTTTTTCCTTCCTTAGAAGATGAGCTTAGTAAGCTTTGTTGTTGTTTATTTGTTCATTTAACAACTTTGATTCCCAGCGAAGGGTTATGGGCCCAGACACGTGTGTGCTGAGCAAAAGGGAAAATACCTTTAGAGGATTGGTTGAAAAAGGAGGAGAGAAAGGTTCTCAAAGAGACCATGGGCCATCCAGTCCAACCCTCCTCTGCCAAGAAGCAGGAATATTGCATTCAAAGCACCCCTGACAGATGGCCATCCAGCCTCTGTTTAAAAGCTTCCAAAGAAGGAGCCTCCACCACACTCCGGGGCAGAGAGTTCCACTTCTGAACGGCTCTCACAGTCAGGAAGTTCTTCCTCATGTTTTCTGCATCTTTTCCTCAACGTTTTGATTTTTTTAAAAAAAAATTGGAGTATTTTTTTAACTTGACTATTGTTATTATATTATACTATTAGAGTCCAAAATGCCCAGAAGGGCTATGGACCCCTGCGCATGAGCATAGTGCCCTCTTCTCTCGCTAGCAAAGCCTCCCGCTTGAAGAGGATTTCGGTCTGCCTTGGAGAAAAAGCGTCTTACCTTCTTGGACTCCAGGATTCCCAGCATGGGGAAGAGGACCACGGGAAGGAGGGCTGTGGCCGCCAGCGGGATGGCTTCCGTGCACCAATAGATGGCCATCAGGATGATCACGTAGCCGCATCGGGATTCCTGGGGTCAAACATAAGTGTCTGTGTATGATATTGACCTTATTTACTGGGATCTAATCCTCATATTTTGGGGCCAAACGGCCTTGCCAAAATTGGAGTGCGCCTTAGATTTGAAACACGGACGCCAGTGGAAATACAGTATTTCCTCACTTATTGCGGTTCCATGACTTCCCGCAATAAGTGAAAAACCGCCATGTAGGGAGGCTATATTTATTTTAATATGTATACATTATTTTAGTAGTTATACGCTATTTTAAGTCTTTATAAACTTAAAGTAAAGTGAAGGAAAGGAAGGAAAGGCCCTTCAAGGCTGGAGGGAGGGAGGACTGAGGAGGGGAAGCGCCTCGGAGAGCGGCGGCGGCAAAAACCCACGAAACAGCCTCTGTTTATAGAATCCTAGAGTTGGAAGGGACCCCCAAAGGCCATCTAGTCCAACCCCATTCAGGCACCATCAAAACCCTCCCAACAGGCAGCCAGCATATGAAAGAGATGAAATACAGAGTGTGTATGATCAGTATATCAAAAAATCTTATAGTTGGATCAAAACCCTCTCGACAGATGGCCCTCCAGCCTCTGTTTATAGAATCCTAGAGTCAGAAGGGACTCTATAGTTGGATCAAAAGCATCCTGACAGATGACCATCCAGCCTTGAGTCAAAAGGGACCCCCAAAGGCCATCCAGTCCAATCCCATTCAGGCACCATCAAAACCCTCCCAACAGGTGGCCATCATTGGAAAGATATGATAGACAGTGTGTGTGTATGTATGTATATGTGTGTATATATTATATCATAGAATCTTATAGTTGGATCAAAAGCATCCTGACAGATGGCCATCCAGCCTAGAGTCAAAAGGGACCCCCAAAGGCCATCTAGTCCAATCCCATTCAGGCAAAATCAAAACCCTCCGAACAGGTGGCCATCATAGGAAAGATATGAGAGACTCTGTGTGTGTGTGTGTGTACACACATATGTATATCATAGAATCTTATAGTTGGATCAAAACCCTCCCGACAGATGGCCATCCAGCCTAGAGTCGGAAGTGACCCCCAAAGGCCATCCAGTCCAACCCCATTAATGCACCATCAAAACCCTCCCAACAGGTGGCCATCATAGGAAAGATATGATAGACAGTGGGTGTATTTGTGTGCGTGTGTGTGTGTATATATATATTTCATAGAATCTTATCATTGGATTTAAACCCTCCCGACAGATGGCCATCCAGCCTAGAGTCAAAAGGGATCCCAACCAGGAAGGTAATATAGAAATTCTATTATTATTATTATTATTATTATTATTATTATTATTATTATTATTATTATTATTATGGGAAGAGACCCCTAGAGAGGGCCATGCAGTCCAACCCCCTTTCTGCTAAAAATACTGCAATATATATTTTAAATTAATATTTTTTTGAAAACCGCGAAACAGCGAGTCTGCTAAAAGCGAACCGCGAAGTAGCGAGGGAACACTGTAATACCGAAAGTGTCCAAACTCGTACTGAAAGGAGGCTTCTTCAGGGCAGTTCAGCCAGATCGCTTTGCCAGCCCCGTCACTGGCAAGGAATGCCACTGGTCGAGAAGAGGATTAGTCCTTGGCATCTGCAAGCAAGCCAAGAACTGTGCAAGAAAGGCCCACAAATACACACCCAGGGCACAAACAGAGGGTGCGCCGCCGGGACGGATCTCTGCCAAACCACCACTCAAGAAGCCGTGGTTCACATTTCCCGGGCGAAAAGTTGCCCCAACTTGCCCTTTGGTGGAGTTGTTGCCGGGCAATTGCCCTGTGGGAAGAGCCATTAGTGGGGCCTGAAGTCATGTCTCCTTCGCCCCACTTGTTTGTACCCGCAAGGCTGTTTTGACTGCAACGGATGCAGCAGAGGAGGCTGAGGAAGAGCTCAATGGGGCTCAAAGGCTTGCGGCACCAACTTGAACCCAAAGCCAATGATTGATTGAGCGCTAGCATCCGGGTTTAGGGATTAACCTGATGCCAAAAGGTTAATCCCTAAGAAGAGAATATTTTTCCTTATTATTATTGCCATTGCACACCGCACAACGAAATGGAATGCCATTCCCAATACACATTGCCTATGTTGGATTACAAAAACACCCATCCTTCCACATTCTAATCACTATTGCACAATCCCGTCTATCTAAATAAAAATGTAATGTTCGTTTGTGGGATTAACATAACTCAAAAACCACTGAACGAATTGAAACCAAATTTGGACACAAGACACCTATCAGGCCAACAAGTGACCATTACTCATCAAAACACTGAAAAACACAGCAGAAGAGACTTTAAAAGCCAAAAAATAAAAAATTACATTACAACGCATGCACAAAACCACACATATATACATAAACACACATATACACAGATTGGGCCACAGCAACGCGTGGCAGGGGACGGCTCGTGCTATATAAGGGTGAAACCTTGAGAGTTCAATATAGAACTCAGTTCAGGGTGTGTTGTATGTAAGCTTGTTGAACCGGTGAATGTGCCTGATATTCATGTTGATGTTTATGATGGGAATGGGGATGATGGTCCTGGTGGTGGGCCTGGGTCTGTTGGCAGTGAGGATGAGGGTTTGCTTGGGCCTGAGTGAAGCTCTCGGAGGAGAGGTCCAAGCTGTCTCAAGAAGATTCATAAGGCCACATTCCTGGGAGAGGCCCTTCACAGCTTTTCTCAGAACAACAGTCTGAAGATGATTTGTCAGGTGGAGAAGTTAATGAGAGAGAAGATAGTGAAAGCCTGGAAGAAAGCAAAGTTTTAGTAAACAGAGACAAAATTTTCAGAGACGGAGACGATAAGTTCGTCTATAGCAAACCTTTATCTGGTGGGAAGGTCGGGAGAAATGCTTTCCTTTCCATTTTGGGATCTGAAAAAGCTTTATAAGGATTCATGGGAGAGAGTTGCCTCAGTCGGGTCAACATTGTTATTTTATCACGGTCTTGCTTTCAAAAGCTCTTAGTTTATGTACCAAGTTTTTGCCAAGCTTAAGATTTGTCTATGAGATTTTCCTGCTATCTTGTTTTATAGCTTCAGGTGCCTCGTTTCATGGATTTTTATGTACTCATGGATCTTGGTTTCCCCTGAAGCTTATGGGCTATTTTCTATATTGGACCTTTACTATTTTTGCTATTGTTAACTGCTTTGCCTACATATCTTCTTCAATAAACTGCTTGCTGGTTTTACCAAGCCGGTGTGGTGTCTAAGGTCAGAGGTTACTGCCCACTGAACCCCACCGATGATGCATCTAGAGCAAACTTGCCCAACATAACAAACTTTAAGTACTAATGGAGTTTTAGGGGGTTCACCTGGCACTATGTGAATTGTTCACCCACAACCTTATCATTTTGTACAATTTCGAAAATGACCTTTTCAAAGATCCTGGGCAATGCTCTAAAAAGTGTAAAAGTGGCTCTACAAATGTGTAAACCCTTAACAAGGACATTGGTCAGGAAGGGGGGGGGGGTTCATTACTCATCAACCTCCCCATAAGCTATGGAGCATAGATGAGTGTTTAGGGGAGGGGGCTGTTCTAACTTCAATGAGGGGGGGGGGAGTTCCAGAGAGAAGGTGCAACCACTGAGAAGGCCTGTTCAGCCTGTGATTGTGTCTGATGCTCATGATGGGAATGATACTCATGAAGTTCATGTTGGGAGTGATGTTCATGTTGATGTGCGTAATGGGAATGGGAATGATGTTCCTGATGATGGGCCTGGGGATGAGGGTTTGCCTAGGTTGGAGTTAAGTTCAGAAGAGAGGCCTGAGAAAGGCCACATTCCTGAGAAAGACCTTTCACCACTTTTCTCAGAGCAACAACCTGAAAATATGCTGAGATTGCTGTACCAGGTACAGAAGGAAAGATCAGTGAAACCTTGGACAGAAAGCAAAATTTTAGCAAACAGAGGCAGAACTTTCAGAATCTCAGCCGTTCTGCTCATTTACAGCAAACAGTTATCTAGTGGGAAAGTGCATTCTGTGAGTGTTGGAAAGGGTTTATAATGATTCATGGGAGACTAGTGTCTCAGTCAAGTCAACTTTGTTTATTCGTGCCAGTTTTGTTTTCAAGTGCTCTATGTTTAATGTATCAAGTTGTTGCCAAGTTTTGGGATTTTTGCCTGAGGGTTCCCGCTGTTTTGCTGCATAGTTTCGGGTTTTGGAAAGGATTTATAATGATTCATGGGAGACTAGTGTCTCAATCGAGTCAATGTTGTTAATTCATGCTGGGTTCGTTTTCAAGTGCTCTATGTTTCATGTATCAAGTTGTTACCAAGTTTTGGGATTTTTGCCTGAGGGTTCCTGCTGTTTTGCTGCATGGTTTCGGGTTTTGGAAAGGATTTATAATGATTCATGGGAGACTAGTGTCTCAATCGAGTCAATGTTGTTAATTCATGCTGGGTTCGTTTTCAAGTGCTCTGTGTTTCATGTATCACGTTGTTGCCAAGTTTAAGTTTTTGCTCAAGAGTTCCTGTTGTTTTCCTTCATGGTTTCAAGTTCCTGGCTTCATGGATTTATATGTATTAACTAGCTGTACCCACCAAGCGTTGCTGTGGCCAACCTTCCCTCCCTCTTTCTCTTCTTTCTCTTCTTCCTTTTTTCCTTCCCTTCTCTCCTTCCTTCCTTCTCTTCCTCTCCCTCTTTTCTTTCCTCTTTCTCCCCTTTCTCCCTTCTCTAACTATTCTTGGACTGCAACTCCCATCAGTCCTCCTGATCAATCTATCTACCTACCTACCTATCTCTATCTAATCTGTCTACCTTATCTATCTGGTGGATTGCTGGGAGTTGCAGTCCAGGAATAGGAAATTGGAAATAGGCAGGGATTGGGATGCTCTCAAAGAAATCCAAGGAGAAGAAAGCTTGCAGATTGGAAGCAGTGCATTTGGATCTTTCTCCTCTCCTAAAAGGCCCAGTCTAGAGGATGCTGGGAGTTGTAGTCTGAAAGAGAGTGTGGATATGCTATTGTGTGTGTTGTTTGCCAGGGGGAGTAATTTTTGCACATGCATGTAGCGTCTTTTTGCTTTTTTTTGGCTTTTAAGTCCCTTCTGCTGTGTTTTTCAGTGTTTTATGAGTGATGGTCACTCGTTGGCCTGAGAGGTGTCTTGTGTCCAAATCTGGTGTCAATTCGCCCAGTGGTTTTTGAGTTATGTTAATCCCACAAGTGAACATTACATTTTTATTTATATAGATGGACCTGATTTCCTTTTAAAGTTTATGAATTATCTTGAATTTTGGACTTCTATTCTACTATATTTTTATTGCTTTGCCTACATATATTCTACAATAAACTGCTTGCTGGTTTTACCAAGCTGGTGTGGTGTTCCACGTCAGAGATGTCCCTGCTCTGGAGTACGACGTCACCAGCCTGTTGGAACTCAGCTTGTTATTGTGTTTCAGGATCAGGGTGCTTTGAATGTAGGGAGCGATGTCAATGAGTTGCAAGATAGCAATAGTTTGGTCAAGGATATTGATACAGAGAATGACCAGGAGATCCCTGATCCTCAGTTTCCCATGAGAATGTCCCTGAGGGGTGTGGGAATGATGTTGCGCTCCCTGAATTGCTACCCGAGAGTTCCCATGATAGGGAACATGAAAACAGCTCGGCACGTGGCCCAGCTGCAGAAGTTAATGAGCAAATAGATAGACCAGAGATCAGTCAAAACAGAAGAGCCGAACAGTGACTTCGGCGTACTGCCAGGCTCCAAGATAAAAAGATAAGAAATTCTCGGCTAAAGCGATACCAATTTCTGAGAGTTAGAGACATAGCTAACGAGGAGATAAAAGTCCCAAGTACAGGATATGTAATCAGATGGAGCATAGTTTGGAATCAAGTCAAGATCTCGTCCATGTTTCATGGAAGCTTTGCTTGGGAAATTCATGTTTTAAGTGCCTTTGTTTCATAGTTTTGATTCTTGGATTCTGTGCTTTTATATTCATGCCTTGGATTCGTGTTTCCTGATTTCTTGCATTTGGGAAGTTTCGACTTTGTTTTTATGGACTATTACCCTGGACTACCTTGTTCCTGCTTATCTTCCTATCTAATTGGATTTACCTATTTCTTTAAAGTGCTTTTTTACTTTACTGCTTTTTAATTATCTTCAATAAAATGATTGTTTCCCTATCCAACGGTGTGGTGTTGAAAGTCAGAGGGCTTTTCCTGTCCTAGAGTACAACACAGCCATTGGTTCCTTAAAAGTCTCGGAGATGAATGCAATCTCTGCTGGGCACTCTTCACCCACAAACTTAAAACTAGCCACCCGCTCCACTCGATCTCCATTGATAATTGTAACCCATAATTCTCTGGGCAGGAGTGGTAATTGTTGGTTCCTTAACAGTCTCAGATCACAATACAGCGATCTCTTCACTAACGTCACCACCTTATGAATGCTGCCGCCGTAGGACAACTCTATATGAACAATAGAGCACCTACTATCTGAATAATGGTGGGATTTATTTTGTCATTTGGGAGTTGTAGTTGCTGGGATTTATAGTTCACCTACAATCAAAGACCATTCTGAACTCCACCAACAATGGAATTGAATCAAACTTGGCACACAGTTCTCCCATGACCAACAGAAAACACTAGAAGGGTTTGGTGGGCATTGACCTTGAGTTTGGGAGTTGTAATTCACCTACATCCAGACAACACTGTGGACTCAAACAATGGTGGATCTGGACCAAACTTGGCACAAATACTCAATATGCCCAAATGTGAACACTGGCGGAGTTTGGGGAAAACAGACCTTGACATTTGGGAGTTGTAGTTGCTAGGATTTATAGTTCACCTACAATCAAATAGTATTCTGAACCCTACCAATGTTAGAATTGGGACAAACTTCCCACACAGAACCCCCATAACCAACACAAAATACTGTGTTTCCTGGTGGACTTTGGTGAGAAAGGGTGAGAAACTCTGCTATATAGGATCCTCCCTTCCCAAAGGTCTCGCCCCCGCCCCATTTGGTTCTATGTGATACAACTAAAGCCCTCCCGACAGATGGCCATCCAACCTCATAGATATTATTTAGCAGGTGTATAGAAAAGTCAGGCTATGGAGTCACAGGATCCTAGAGTTGGAAGGGTCTCCCCAAAGGCCATCTAGTCCATCCCCCTTCTGCCAGGCAGGAAGGCACCCTCCAATCCTTCCCGACAGATAGCCACCCAGCTAAAGACAGATGGCCATAAATATGATAGATAGGTGTGTGAGAGAGAGAGAGACGATAGATGACCCCAAGGGCCAGCCAGTCCTAACCATTCAGGCACCATCAAAGCCCTCCCAACAGATGACCATCATATGAAAGATATGATATACAATGTGTGTGTGCAATGTGTGTGTGTGTCTGTGTATGATCACAGAATCTTGTAGTTGGATCACAACCCATCCCGACAGATGGCCATCCAGCCTCTGTTTATAGAATTCTAGAGTTGGAAGGGACTCCAAGGGCCATCKAGTCCAACCCCATTCAGGCACCATCAAAGCCCTCTCAAAAGATGACCAGCATATGAAAGATGAAATACAGTGTGTGTGTGTGTGTGTGTGTGTGTGTGTGTGTGCGTGTATCAGTGTATCAAAAAAATATTATAGTTGGATCAAAACCCTCCCGASAGATGGCCATCCAGCCTAGAGTTGGAAGGGACCCCCAAAGGCCATCCAGTCCAACCCCATTCAGGTACCATCAAAACCCTCCCAACAGGTGGCCATCATAGGAAAGATATGGGAGACAGTGAGTGTGTGTGTGTGTGTGCATGTATGTGTGTGTGTATATGTATATGTGTGTGTGTATATGTATGTATGTGTGTGTGTGTGTGTGTGTGTGTGTGTGTATATATATATATATATATATATATAATAGAATCTTATAGTTGGATCAAAACCCTCCCGACAGATGGCCATCCAGCCTAGAGTTGGAAGGGACCCCCAAAGGCCACCCAGTCCAACCCAATTCAGGCACCATCAAACCCTCCCAACAGGTGGCCATCATAGGAAAGATATGATAGGCAGCGAGTGTGTGTGTGTGTGTATATATTCATAGAATTTTATAGTTGGATCAAATCCCTCCCGACAGATGGCCATCCAGCTTACAGTTGGACGGGACCCCCAAAGACCATTTAGTCCAACCACCCTTCTCCCAAGCAGAAAGATAATATAGAAATTCTATTGTTATTATTATGTGAAGAGACCCCTAGAGAGGGCCTTGCAGGTGGCACAATCTGATCCCTCCCGACAGATGGCCAACCAGCCTAGAGTCGGATGGGACCCCCAAAGGCCATTAAGTCCAACCCTTCTCCCAAGCAGGAAGAGAATATAGAAATTCTACTGTTATTATTATGGGTAAAGACCCCTAGAGAGGGCCATGCAGGTGGCACAATCTGATCCCTCCCGACAGATGGCCACCCAGCCAAAGACAGAGGGCTATAGATAAGATAGAGCTCTCTCTATATATATTATGTGTGTGTCATAGAATGCTAGAGACCCCCTAACCCTCCCAGGCGAGGAAGGGCACCATCCAAGCCCTCCCTGCAGATGGCCATCCTGATTTTCCTACCAGTCCAGGCAGCAGCAGCGGGAGCGGGAGGAAGGCCAGTGGGGCGCCCAGCAGGGTCAGCAGAGCGCGGTGGCGGAGCAGCGCCGCCACAAAAGGGGGCGCCATTGCAGGAGAAGGAGCAGAAGAGAGCGGCAAGAGCAGAGAGGGAGAGAGAGATAGAAAGAGAGAGAGATGGAAGGAAAGAGCAGAGGGCGAAGGCTTTTAAACCGCGCGCCCCTAGGCCACGCCCCCAGGCCCGCCCCCTTCCCGAGGCCACGCCCTCGCCCGCCCTGCGCTGCCTCCTCGGCCCAACAGAGGGCCACCTTTCCCATGACTGGGATCTGGCATTATTGTGATTGTTAACCTCATTCATTTTGCATAGACTTATTTTGCATTGTTGTTGTTGTTCATTCGTTCAGTCGTCTCCGACTCTTCGTGACCTCATGGACCAGCCCACGCCAGAGCTCCCTGTCGGCCGTTACCACCCCCAGCTCCCTCAAGGTCAGTCCAGTCACTTCAAACCCAGAATTATGCATAGAATTATGGAAAACATAGACCCCTGTCTGATCCCACAGCAAGCTGGCTTCAGAAAAGGCAAAAGCT